GGTCAGTTGTTTAATTTTAAAACAGATGAATATACATGTATTTGCCATATTTACATACCCCCGTCAGATTCCAAAATTTTAAAAACTAATCATTTCGAATTTTATGACGACACAGAAAAGGGTTTTTTAAAGTACGAATTGTTAGATAAAATCTTCATTTCTGGAAACTTTTATGCTCGTTCCAGTAATAACTGTGTTTTTTTTGCTAAATATTTAGATAGTGATCAATCATTTATTGACACTGCATCTATCCCGTTAGAGTAAGCCAAGACCATGTGCTAAATCATAGTAGTCGGAGTTTACTAGCATTGTGCATAGAGACAAATTATTTGATAGCCAATGGTAGGCTTCGGGGCTGTTACTTTTACCTCCCGATTTGGTGTAAGTTTAGTTGACTACCTGTTATTGAAAAACCAAGATTTTGATAATTTTTTTTTAATTTTACACTTCATGATTTTAATGAATTTTTCTGGTCGTGATTATATATCTTTCGAATTCAGAATCGTTCACAGAAATATGAAATTAATTCAGGTTAAGAAATTAATCGAATTATCTGGGATACAGGTAAAATACCGCTGTTTCAGTATTATAATAATCATGACATATTTAGCCGCTGAACGATTGAAGTGTGCACTCAACCGATTGACTGTACTGTAAACGAATTTTGCAGTTTCATTACAACTGTTTTCAGCCAAACGAACATGCATGCCGACATTTTTATAAAAGAAAAAAAAAAGTTTCCTTTTAAAAGGAAAGGCTTGCACAGTTGTGCCTTCATCCCAACCCTTTAATTTTTTTTTTTTTGGTTTCAATTTATTATCACAATTTTTTTGAATTACGGTATTTGTATATCATAAAGGGTTTATTTAGTTGTTTTTTTGTTTTGATTTTTGGAAAAACGAATATTTTTTGTCAAAACGATTTGAAATCTATTCTCTATTGTATAAAACTAATAAAGAAAATGATCAATCTACTGAAGGGAAACAAGTGTGCACATTTAATTTCCCCTTTTTCGCAGAGACATCATTCGTTTGCTTTACACTAAAATACTTCGTTACGTGGTACCAATTAAATAGCATGTATCAACTATGTTACACGATCACAAATACGATGCGCTATCTGTAGTTTAGCACGTGGGAAGGTTAATGATATGCATGGGCAATTTTTAGATAACCTCACCAAGAAGTTGAATTGCGTTCAGTAGATCTAAATATAACTCGATCATGCGTGATTTGGTAAGCAGGACCACCCTTGAAGACGGAATACTACTCTATTGTATAAAACTAATACAGACAAAAAAAAACGATTATAAAAGAAACTAACTTTTGCGTCTTGAAAAACAATTGAAACGGAATAATTTCGTTTATAATTTATAACGGTTTAAACCGATAAATCGAGTAAAAATAGAAATCCTATTTATATAAACAAACTGGGATTACCGAAGTAACTAAAATAGCTTAGATTTCCGTAATATAACTTCGTCTGATTCCGCAGTATGACGGAATCGCCCGAATTGTCACGATTGCAATCGGAACTACATCGGCTATTATCATTAATCCGAAGAGTGACGGAAAAGGCCGAAAAGTTGCGATTGGCACGATTGCAGCTGGTTTCCAGTTCAATCATGCACCAACAGATGTAAGCAGGAAACCACCTAACCGGAACAAGTTTTCCAAATGAAATGGCTTGCAGCCGTGGCTGCAAGCCAAAAACAACGATAACCGTTGCGCCTATGTAAGCGCGATAACTAGTTATGATAAAAAGAAAAAAAAAGCGCGTCGTTATTTAAGAATACAAGAAGGCCGTAGAATTTGCGTCTTCTCAACGGCGTGATTTTTGGAAATCTATTAAGAAGTCATATCAAAAGAAAACTTCGATTGCAGCTCTCTGACAACTGACGAGCTACAAAGACATTTCCAAGAAATGTTCAGTGGCGGGTTTTCCAACGATAACGACCAACATATCCCCGAAAATTCGAATTGTAATAATATTTCGCTGGATTTGGAAATATCTAATGCAAAAATCCGTGACGCCGTTTTCATGCAAAATAGTAACAATGCTCGTGGATTAGATAACCTTCCAGCTGAAATGTTTAAATCGACATTTGACATAATCCCTCCCTTTCTCAATAAATTATACAAAATTTTTAATGATCATGAATATCCCACCGCATGGGGACAAGAAATCATAACCACTGTGTTTAAAAAGAGTGATATAAACGTAGCTAAGAACTTTTGCGGGATTACACTGATTAACATAATAGAGAAAATATTTTCGCAAATATTACTGAATCGCTTGAGTAAATGGACGAAAAAACATGATAAATTGTCAAATAACCAATTTTGTTTTCAAAAGGAAAATCTATCACTGACTGTATCTTTATATTAAACGTCGTCATATCTAAGGTACTTAATTCCAAGCAAAAACTCTACTGTATTTTCATCGATTACGAGCAGTGTTTCGATAAAATTGACAGTCAATTTTTGTGGCAAAAGTTGATCAATGAGAATGAAAGTAGTAAATTTGTTATGGCATTAAGGTCCATATATACTGCGGTGAAGTAATGCGTGCGTAATAATTCAGAAGTCTCTGACTTTATATCTTATGACATTGGATTAAAGCAGGGAGACCCCAGTTCACCTCTTATGTTTATGTCTTCGAAAACGACATCAAATAAAACATTTACAGTGATTTAGATGATGTCATAATAATTGATGACGTTAAACTCTTTTTGATATTATACGCGGATGACTTGGCTTTATTTGCTACATCACAAAAATCTCTTCAGTCTATGCTTAGCGATGTCGAGAATTACTGCTCTACATGTGGTATGAAAAGAAATGTTAACAAAACGAAGGCCATGAATTTTGTAAATGGCAGAAGTACTTTCTCAGATTTATATATATTTAGTAAAAAAATTGAACTGGTTAACTCTTTTAAATATCTCGGTGTAGATTTTTCAAGAATGGTTACTGGGCACGCACAAAGAAACTAATCGCCATTCATGCATCGTTTTACTACATAATCTGTTTTCTATTTTTCGACAAATTGAATTGCCTAAATCAAAAATATTAATTTATTTGATGTGTTAGTTGGATCCACGTTCAAAACATACAGTATCCTAAAATTAGACGCGGAAACAACGTCACGTATAGAAACAAAAATTTGGCTTCATTGGAAAAACAATACTTGAAGGGCACGTATGGAATAATCAAGTTATAGATAATGTTACGTTTGATATAATAAAGATACTTATAAGCAGTCATGGTACGCAGAAATAAATATATCCCCGCGATTACAAAGCTATAGTTTATTTGAACACACTTTTAAACGCGAGACATATATTGATTTTTTACAAGACAGAAAATATTTTAATCAAAATTTCGGGTATCTGCACATATACGAATACTCCATAGGAGCAAAGGTTATGTAAGTCCTGTAACATAAAGAGAGTTGAAACGAAGTTTCATTTTTGGATGGTTTGTCCTACATATAGAGGGCTACAAAAAAGTGATATTTCTGTAGGTGGCCGACTTTTAATAAATTGAATCTTTATTAAATTCTTAATCGAAAATGGAACTGAACAACATTTCGAAGTTTTTATGTTTTGCCATTAAAGAAAGAATAAGAATATTTAGTTAAATTTATTAATAGTCATCAAGAATATCTTGATTAATTTTAATAAATTTGAATCTTTATTAAATTCTAAATAGAAAATGAAGGTATACAATCTTTTGAGTTTTTTTATATTTTGCTAATAAAGAAAGAATATTTTGATTATATAATACCAATTATTCAATATTATATCAACATCTTGATGAAGTAATATCACTATCATATTTATGAAGTAAGTATGAAATATTTAATTTTTGTGCAACTTTTATTTCTTCAGTATTTTAAGACCTTTCAGGAAATAGTATTGTTACCTTTTTTCCATTCGATGTCAGATCTCATCTTCATAAAATGTATATGTTTGTTTTGCTATAAACATTTAATAACGTTTTATCTGCAAATATTTTTTAAAGTTATTTGTATTGTATTGTTGTATAATAATTCTGCAAGTAAAAAGGAAAGAATAATTTATTGGATATTTTCATTGCAGAAGTTTATTTCAAATTTTATTATACATCATTTCGATTGGATATTTGTCTTACTACTATGAAATATAGAATATTTTTCCATTTATTTCTTTCCATATTTGCTCACGGAAAAGTCTGATCAAGTCATTTTCACTTTGGTGCTCTATACAATGATATTGGAATAAATATTTTTAAACGTAAAATGAAAAACAATAGGAAGAATTTCATTTATTGAATTCAACAGTTTTACTGATGTAATTGAAACTTTTATTTTAGGAAATAGTGGATAGCCGGAAGATTTTCTCTAAACCGAGTAAACCTCTACTTCACAAAGGGTAAGGAAGCCATCCTGGTTTTTGATGATCTTCAGAAACTTTCCTGTCACGTGCTGAGTGCATGGGATCTTTACAGGTAAAGACGGCGATGCTGGGGGTCCGACGTAGTATGCGCAGTCAGTTCCGAGATTGTTGTCTGAATCTTGACGGGTAGGGGAAATCAGTAACTGCAAATTCGAGTTCCTGATGTCTACAAAATATAAACAAAAATGTTAAAATCAAAACAGATAAAACAAACAACTTACATATATTTCAGAATGACAAATCTGCACGGGAAGAAGCAGAGGTCAACATCAGGAAATTTTAATACTCCTGACCAAAATTTGAATGGTGCTAAACAGAACAACGTTGTGTGCAATACGTCTTAAACAATAAAAAAAACTTTGAGTATTCATTGTATTTGATTATATTACTGCTCGATGTTCAGTAGCAGTTTGTAAGGTTTAAAAGTACAAACCAGTATGTAACTGTTAAAACAATTTCAAGCTTCTGTTAGCGCTTTAAGGTACATTAAAGTTATATTTATGGCCAAATTCATCCACATAGATTGTCAAATTAACACCTTATTATTATCAAATGCATTATTTAACTGGTATTGACGAAGTTATCTCTCTTAGAAACGCTCTCCGAAACAGTTCTGAGCATTCAAAAAAAATCTTATCTGACATGGTCAATCAAATAAGATTCATAATTTGGCTGGAAGCCATTCGATTATTTCCGTAAATGTCCGGATCGGAGTCACGTCATTGATATATAAATAATATGAATCAAACCAAAATAATGGCGGACAATACGAAAGGTGTGAAACGTACGAAAAAGAAAATTCCAGATTCGGAAAAGAAAAGGAGAAAAGTGGATAGAAACCGTGATTTCATGCAATCGGTAGCGAATTAAGCCGGTAAAAAGTTCTAAAAAGGGAAATTAACGCCAAAAACGACCTCGAAGTTGTTACATTTCTGATTGACAGGTGATCATTATGTTTTTGGGCCTTTTGTTTTTTTTGTTTGATTTTTTCTTGATCTTACTTATAAAGATAATTTTACCTGTGAATATATAAATGCATATTTTGTGTTATTGTTTTAGAATGGTATTGACATATGATAAAGAAATTAAACTTGTAGAGCCACGTCTGTACGTTCAGTTTTAATTCACTGTAATTTTCGTACCGTTAAACTGTAAAATTTGAATTCCTGATGTCTACAAAGTAAATGAAATAAAACACAAATATTACAAACATTTTGTAATGAAAACTTTACTGGGCATATACAGATCAAAATTAGCAATTCTGTTTATGAAAGATCATAATAATAAAACTTCTTACTGAATTGTGAGGCATTCCTAAAAAAGATGATAACATGGGACACTTCTGCGACACGCTCAAATTCCATTCCCCAATAAGAATAGCCACTTTCAGTATGAGCACAGTATAATTCATACGTCACCTTATCGTTGTTGTCGCGGTCGCCATCTATAGCAAAGCTTGCTGCTAGTGGTTTATCCTTGGACATGTATGTAGATTGCTGCCACGCGTCAACAGCAGTAACAAAACGATCTGGTACAAAAACATAAACACACTTTTTTATTCGGTAAGAATAAACATTTTTCAATGACAACAATGTTTGATTTAAAATATACAGCGTTGTTGGAAACTAAAACATCTCCATAAACTTAACAAAATAATGAAAGACTACCATTGATTCTAGGAAATGTTCAAGAGAGGATCACAAAATTTTGACCAAGGGTAAAATCCGTATTCAAGATCAGCTTTTGTATTTTAGTAGGTTTTTTTTTCAGACAGGATGATGAGTCACCTTTCTTTCGTGGAGTTCTTTAGGTAATTTTCACTAAATAAAATTAATGTCAGTTGTTATCAAAATCTTGTTCGACATATTAGCCAAAATAACATGACCCTATTTTAACCACGTGCATTGCTGTGGAGTTATTTAGGTAATTTGAACCATCATCATTGATAGGATAGTGATTTGAAACTGGTAACATAAGTCCCCAGTTTTACATTAAATTTACATGATCAATAAGATTCTGTATATCACAAAGATGCCAATAGATCACGTGAAAGTCGTTTCACTAAAACAATGTCGGCAAACGTATTCTGAATACGAGAAATACACATTAATACTCATACCATAAAACTTTATATTACTCACAGCGGCGACATAGAGAAATAAAAATAACTATGTCTCTCTAAATAATTATCAGTACACCATAATGCAGTCAATTATCGTTATCACGAGATCGCTTTTTCTCAATATCTATCTCTATTGTTATCTAGATGAAATTTTGAAAGTCCCGATATTTGTCCTTCTACATCTATATTTGATATATTTGTTTATCTCGATATTTTCAGTATCTCGAAGTAAAATTTCAGCCCAAAAGTTATTTTCACACTGTTATACATTTTATCTAACGTTTTTTACGATAATTTTGACGTTCCCGATGACTTCGAGATAACGAGAGTCGACTGTATATAATACTCGTAATTCAAAGGATACGCACCATCATAATAAACGTTCCAATTGGATTCGACTGCTGTTGAAGGTGTCACCACCCCAGGAACGTATGTTGTTTGTTCGCAAACGCCCGTGTCCGCATTGTGGTTAACAGAGGTACATTCATCCGCACTATTACATAATCTCGCACATTGTATTATGCTTGTGTTTAAATGTTGCACTAATTTATCAGAATACCGTGCATTACTCGATGAGAGAGTAAACTGAGTGAAATTGTGGGTGAGGACTGTTTTAAATAAAAAAATTGTTACGAATTCAAGGATCCAAATCCACATTTTCTCAATAAAACACTGCATTGTATCGTTTTAAAATTCAATGTTCTTTACTTTATAAGTAATACTTCTGCATCGCAATCCTCCTTTTAACTGCAATATTTTCTTCTTTCAAGCACTTAATTTTAAATCACGTACGTGTAACGAAATTTCCCAAAAAGAACGGATTTTTAGTTTCAGCTCAAAAGGTCCATATGTTAGTGGTATTTGGAGCAAAATTAATTTCATCATACAATTTCGTTTATTCAAATGTTACTAGATACTATTGTTATCCGATTCTATTCATTCGATACCTATCTTGCTTTTATTCACAATTAATATCCAACGACAAAAGGTTCCTTCTTGAAGTTTTTGCATTCCATTTTTAATTTTAATTTCAATATCTTTTAATCAGTTAGCAATTTAAATAAGACTTCGGATCATCCTTCCAATTGCAGAATTATGTAAAACTTTTAATTCCAATGTCTCAATATGTATTGTCCAAGGACGCAAGCAGATGTCTGTTCCCGTTAAGTTATTTCTTAGTATTCCTTGCTACACGTGACGAAAAATGCGTAAGCATGAACATTCTAAACCGTTTATTTCAAATGCTAATTTCAACATATGAATAATACATCTACAATAGGAAGTTGAAGTAGTGTATTCAGGATCGGTTTTTGTGCTGCAGTCCCGAGTTCAGGTCCGAGGATTATATTTTTAAGCTGTGCTGTAATTTTTTAAAGTGACATAATTCCCATTTTTTCATTATCAAGTTGAGCTGAAATTATTAAACATTTTAATAGATTCACCTTTGCAATGTTGATAAAAATATTGGGATATATACAAATCTGCCTAAAATATATAAAGACTGCCCACTTTTTTATACGTTGAACGTTACAGGTAAATTCTGATGAATATTAACAGCAATGACATTGTGTCATGTGAGTTATTTATCATTCATGCAAAGTAAATTTAGAATTGAAAGGAATCATGGCAAAATATATACTTATTTTTACTTTAATCTCTTTACCCTTGGATCTTTAATGTCAGTTTCATACGTTTTGCTTTTGCGTACCGCATTATCAAACATTTAAGTTATCTAGCTGTTAATCTCTTCCCTTGGACATGGTAGAGTGACTAGATTTGATTGAAAACACTTTGCTCTGCTTTGAATATTACCAGTCGATACAAACTTTATAAAAAAGAAAAAGAAAAACAAAAAACACAACGATAAATAAATAAATAAACAAAACAAAGAACTGAGCTTTCAAGAAAATAGAGCTGGTATGTATTTTAGGCTTAATGAGAGTTCATCCGCCCCTTTCAGGCACTAGGATACGACACCGATAATAGAACCGGATCAGACTAGGACCTTTCATAAGCAGATTGACCTGGATATATACCAGTGGCAAGGAATAATCGTTTCCGGTTCCAACAAGTTCAAGATTAATCTGAAATAGGAAAAGAATTTAACTCACTACAGTGTTGGAGGAGCAATACCTCCAAACACTTGCAGAAATCATGTTCACAAAGTAGTAGCATATCGTTTTTGTGAATGTTTCGGCGGGTGAAAGGCGAGATTTTCGTAATGAATCGCATTGTCCGGTATATATTTGAAAACTGTATTTAGTCTGGTGTCACAATATCTTCTTTTTTAGTCCCACTCATAGGACAAAAGGAACCTTGAATCACTGTTTTAAAATAGATAAAAACAGATCCCTAAAGAAAGCCCAACACGGCAAAATTGAAAATGTTGCAGGCTCGGTTTGATTGAGCCTGTTCATGGACGGTACTGGAAAGTGCAAGTTACCGTCCACGCCCCCTAGCACCGGCTTAAGCAGAATTCAACATTTAAACATGCAATAGTAAAATTTTGAATTTAGAAACATCCGCAGATGTGTTCATACGGCGGTTATCATGGAACCTTCAATGTGACACAGTAGTGCCATTCCATGAAAAGCGGCATATGGTCCCCAATTAAAAAAATACGTGTGCCCTAAACGAGAAAACAATGGGCGGAACTCAATAAAATGGAATTTTGAAAGGGGATCAGAGGTTATGAAGCCTGCGTATCACAGAAAAGACGTCAAAAGACAAATTTAAAAAGCAGGCAACATATCCTAAGGGTGATTCAACATTATTCAAGTAGGAATATTGGAACCACCCAAATAGAAAATGCCGAAAAGTTAAAACTAAAAATACCACAAGCACAACAATAATGTCGTGCTGAACGATCTTCAAGGATCGAAAATATAACATCATTGATTAAATGTACGGGGAGACTTTTTACAGCCGCCACACGGCACAAATAACACGGATGTGATCATAAAATAGATAAAAACAGAATCCCTAAAGAAAGCCCAACACGGCAAAATTGAAAATGTTGCAGGCTCGGTTTGATTGAGCCTGTTCATGGACGGTACTTGAAAGTGCAAGTTACCGTCCACGCCCCCTAGCACCGGCTTAAGCAGAATTCAACATTTAAACATGAAATAGTAAAATATTGAATTTAGAAACATCCGCAGATGTGTTCATACGGCGGTTATCACGGAACCTTCAATGTGTTAAATCTCATAACAATAATGTCCTTACTTACGCTCCACTACCTTTCGTTATGTAGAGTATTGGATCAAAAACGGAGAGATGATTTAAAAGAGAGTTAATGAGACTGAATAATTTATTCATATAAGTCTGCTTAGTTCTGATAAAGGGAGTAGTTACATTTATGAAGATGTCACAAAGCACCACGATTTCTAATAAATTTATTTGCGTTAAAGATAATAATTTAAAGCGACCTCTTTCATCCGCTCTCTTCTCTTTGTGCTACAAGTCACCTTGTTTGTTTTTTCTTTTCCTTTCTGTGTTTACCTGTTTATTTTTTTATACCAAATTCAACAAACTAACAGATTCAGTTATGTACATTTGTACTTTTAATATATCTTCATTTAATTAATACATGATTCTATTTATAATTTCATTGAATTACATTCTTTTTATCTTTTTTTAATGTTTATAAATATGTTTTTTTTTTATCTTTTAGTTATAGTTTGATTCAGCCTTTCTCATTTACTTGGTATCTGCACGTCGTTGAAGCAGAGGCAATGACAAACAATTTGAAGATTGGTTTTAATTTGTTTTACAAAAGACCCTGACCAACCGCCGAGTGTTTGTTTGTTTGTTTGTTTAATTGGGTTTTACATCACAACGACACAGTATAGGTCATATGGTGGCATTCCAGCTTTACTGGTGGAGGAAGACCTCGGGTGCCTTTCCGTGCATTATTGCAGGCACGAACGGGCACCCGAGTAGAACTGCCGAGATTTATGTCTGTACATGGTGAGCGGAGTTTAGTCGGAGTTAAGCCTATTTTAAACTCTTCGATTCAGCTTCCGATGTCCTGACTGAAGCCAAGAAGAATGGTCCTGCATAAGAGTCAGCGACGACGAGGATGTTATTAGTTGTATGAAAGTGCATGAGCCCTTAGTAGGCGTGACGGCTTGAAAAGTAGGCCTTTTGCTTGGCACCAACAGATTTTATCGGGCTACCGCCTTCATTATTTTCTCAAGTTACCGTACGTTCTAGGTCTTATTGAACTGTATAGTGAACTAAAATTTCATTTCTTATGTTAATAATCGGTTGAAATGACACTGATGTAAATAAACAGGACATAAACCTTTAAGGGCATGACTGGTGACATATTCCGCGTTCGTACTCGATAGCGAAAGCTCAAGACAACACATGCATATCCGTGCAGTCTGTCCAAGTGGTATACTGTTAGTAGCTCAATTTTTTTATTCTTTAATTTTAAAATGGACTTTTCCAAATTCAAGACAGTGGAAATCAATAACCATTAACAAAAATTTCAGGAAGTTAAGAGTAAGTTCACGAGATTTGATGTCCGTTCAAAATACGGATTAAACTAATTTGTAAAGCTTTGGACAGAAATACTTTTAACCTGGACAAAACCATTCATCACTTTAGATACATTTTCATTATATGAACTGACTGAGGAGCGGACAGAGTATGATCCGGTGGCACAGACGTGGCTGCTGATCTAGGCAGAGTCAGTTGCCACCAGCAGCATTAAGTTTTCTGTCTCAGAATATGTATGATTTTGACTGTATATTATGCACCTATCACAGACAAAAATGATACATTGTGTCTATTTGAAAATGAATCTAAGTCGATATTTTCTGCAAAACTAATTAGATTTTTTTCAATTAAGATAAAAAGATAAATCTTTATCGATGTTACAGTACAGTCATGACACTTGGAATTGCTTGAAAATGCTCTCGTTCTAAATTAATAATTTTACATTTGACTGACTCTGTTACAATAGACCGATTTAGTAATCTGCAATAAATGTTTCGTGGAATTGAAATGTTCCACGTAATTGATCACAACTTATTATTTTTAAACTCTTAACCGTTTTCGTAAATGTAGTGGTAGTGACTGAATATCGAATAGACTGAACAGTGCTGCCCAAGATCAGATGACATGAATGTGCCTATGATCTTGGTCTGCACTTGTTGTATGGGAAGATTCAGCTGCCGCTAGCAGGCTAAGGGTTAACGGGTTAAAGTACGATAAAGGTACGGATGGTATTTATTTCAACTATATCATCATCGCAACTTTCTGGCACTTTCAACAATCTTCGGATGATGACCTCGGACACCATAAAGTAAAATAGAACGGATGCAGTTTTTCGGTGTAACTTACATGTAAACCAACAAAATTATGTAAATGTTGGGATTTGTTGAGTTATTTTATTTCATTTTATCGGATACAATACTTTTAATCTATTTAGATTAAGAAAATGTATAAGTATATACAAGGAACTTACCCACTTTACCAATTGCCGAAGAACAAAATAAGCGAAAGATACTTATCTATTTGGGAAATGAGTATCTTTTTAGAATCTGTAATGAGATACAAAATAAAAGGTTTTAAGAAAATAAAATACGCATTTCCGGGGCTTTTAAAATTGGCCTTTCATGCAACTCGATTCATACAAATGCGGTGCACTCGCCATTTTTGAAATACAAATAAGGTCCATTCATAATAATTTCGCGTGAAATGAGAGTCTCATTTATTTTGCAAGTAAAAAGGAAAGAAAAATTATGGGATATTTTCATTGTAGAAGTTTTTTCAAAATTTTATTATACAGCATATTTATTGGGTATTTGTCTAATTAATATAAAATGAGAATATTTTCCCGTAATATTTCTTTCCATATCTGCTAATGGAAAAGTCTGATAAAGTCATTTTCACTTAAGTGCCCTATACGATGTATATTTTTAAACGTAAAATAAAAAAAATAGGAAGAATTTCATTTATTGAATTCAACAGTTTTTGCTCAAGTTATAGAAACATTTTATTTAAAGTAAAAGTGGATAGCCAGACGTGTTTCTCTAAACCTAGTAAACCTCTACTTCACAAAGGCAAAGGGGGTCATCTTGGTTGTGGATGATTTTTCAGAAACTTTCCTGTCACAAGCACATGGGATCTTAACAGGTAAAGACGGCGCAATCAGTTCCGATATTGTTGTCTGAATCTTGTCGGGTAGGGGAAATCAATAACCGCAAATTCGAGTTCTTGTAGTCTACAAAATATAAACAAAAAATGTTTAAATCAAAACAGATATAACAAACAACATACTTATATATCAGAATGATTTTGTTTGTTTTTTGGGTTTTACGTC